CTGAGCCACCTCCCTGGCCCCAAAAGAATATTTTATTTTATTGAGATACTGGGGATTGAACTCAGGACCTCACGCATGCCAGACAGGCATTTATTTTACTGAGCTATCTCCCCATTCCCCCCTCATTGTTTTTTCTTTTGCCCTTTGCCTCAAGCCAGTTGTTCCTTCCTTTTGGACAAATACTTTCCATTTCACAGTATCTACCATACCGTTCAGACTACATTTACTCTATATTTACACTAGCAAGACAATGCAATGTTTTTAAGTAAGGAAGTTTCCATTCCAATAGTGTATAATATGCTAAAGACAGAAATCAACTGGTGCTGATTTTCTTGTTTTTGTCTTTAGGAGGTTCCTATTAACATTGGAAGAGCTGGTACCTGTGTTGTGCTGGTGAAGCTACCTTAAAATTATCTCTATGAAATGTAATGAAACTTGATAATGTCAACAAAGAAAACAAAGGACAAAACAAGAAATATTCTTTCCTTCAGCAATTAATTACAAAACTTGAAAATTGTTATGTCATTTAACTATGTATTTAGAATTGTTTTCATTTGTACAGTATCACAAAAGTTTTCAATATGAATTGCATATAAAAGCAAATTTTGTGTGTTGTCCCAGGTGTGGTATCAAGGGAATTATAATTGTGTAGGTCAGCTTTGTCCCTAGAAATGTTAAAATATTCAATAAATTTGACAGTGGTGAAAATTTAAAATTTATAAAAGAATTGACAAGATCAACTGAGACTCTGAGAAGTTATTATTTTTTCTTTGTCTATTACAACTGCTTGGTACATTTATATAATTCTCAACAGTCTGCAAAATGCTTTGATATTGCTGAGTCCCTGGATATGACCATATGGCAGAACCATTCAAAGCTTGACATTTGATTCAGATAAACCTGTTGATACAGCACATCTCTGTCACTTACCAGTTATATAATCTTTTTAAAAAATTTAAGAAAACATGCTACTCTCTTATCTGGAATATAATTTAAAGTTGAAAGGCTATGTGAGACTAAAATCTAAAGCTGATTGTCAATGAGATATCACTTTTTTTCCAAGAACATGCTGAAAACCTCTAAATAATCCCTCACTTTTTTCCAGTATGAAAAGTTATAAAATTTCATGACTGTAAAACTGGTTCATTGACATAATTTGTTATGCTGATTATAGTATATCAAACTTTTACAAACTAATTTTTCTGTCAGAGAACAAACATATAGATTTTATGCATCTTCACATATTGAGTTGTTGAACAAGTTGCCAGGGAAATATTGTGATGTCATATAACCTCTACAATAATAGTAAATATTTATGATTGTTATAAACTATGGTATCAGTCAAAACCTTATTCGAATGGAATAATCTCAAATATTTATGTGAGCTTTGCAAATATGTAGTATTAAGTTAAACAAGTTTTAAAAACAAAATAATTTAAGTGCATTAAATGTTTGAAGATGCTACATATTAACATACGGAAACATCAAAATCTTTAGCATGCATGTACAACTGTATAGTTATTTTTTATTTGCCAACATATGCTTTTATGTTAATGATATATTTGTCCAGGTGGAACTGTGAAGGATATAAGAAAAAACACGCTTTTAAAATTCATAAAAAAAGAGGTGGCTCGTGGATGGTGGCCACCATTTGAAGGCTCCAGGTGCCAGCCCAACCTCCAAGGCCCACTCTACAGCTCCTCTCCACCTTGACAAGGTCTGCAGGCAGGGACCCAGAGGGCTCCTCTTGCTGGGAGATGGGCCTGCCCTGCTCCTTGGCACACCCCTTCCCTCCTCCCTGAGCTCTATGCTAGCCTGTGGAAGTTTGTGCTGCTTCCCCGATATTGCTGCAGAGGAGAGGGGAATCTTTGTGCAGTGAACCCGGAGCTGCCACCTTTTTGGGGCCAGCAGCTGTGTTTTCGAGGAAACCAGAACCCCGTGGTGAGCCCTGGTTGACCTGGTTTGTTCTCAGTCCATTTCCAAACACTTGGAGAATAGAAACTCTGCAGCCAGGGGTTGGGGTGGAGGGATGTTCCTACTTTGCCAGAGGTTAGGTAGCTGTCAAGTATGCACTAGTAGAAGATGATTTCTGCATTCTGAATCATGAAAAAACTCATACAAGAGATACAGTGACTACAGCTTCATTGTTTTCAAGAGATGAGTCTGATGCCTCACATTTTGCCCTGGTCACTGCTTATGAAGACATCAAAAAATGACTTAGTGATTCAGGGAAAGAGAACTCTTTCATAAAGAAAGGAATAAGGTTTTTGGAATAAAAGTTTGTTGGAGCTCAATTAGATGAAGAAACAAGTTCTGTGGGATAAGAACAAATAAATAAGGCTTATTATGCATATGGAGAGGTTTGCATTGATAGAAATAATTTGAAAAGAAAATTGAATAGAATGAATAAAGACAACTCTGAATCTTTGAAAGAATTCAATGAGCAGCCACAATCTAAAGAGGTAGAATTCCTCCACCTGAGAACAGAAGTGGAAACTCAGCAGGTGATGAGGAATTTAAATCCACCTTCTTCAAACTTGGAGGTGGAAAAGTTGAGCTATGACCTGAAGATCCATGGTGTGGAACAAGAGCTGGAACTGATGAAAAAAAGAATGTAATGATCTCAAAATAGAGTTACAAAAAGCCAAACGAAAGGATTCATCTCAGGAAGACAATCTGAAGTGTAGTGATCTCCAAAGACTAAGTATTTCAAGTGATAATATGCAACGTGCATATTGGGAACTAAAGAGGGAGATGTCTAATTTACATCTGATGACTCAAGTACAAGCGGAGCTGAAAAAACTGAAAGCCTCAACCACAGTCAACAAAGCTTGCACCCTAGTTGGATGCATGGAAGACCTTGGGAAAACAGCACGAAACTGCACTTGGCAAATTTCACTGCAACATACGAAAGACATGGACCACTGTCACCAAATGGTAAACCTGTTCATCACATCTCCCCTTTATCAGGAGATATAAAGGTTTTCTCAGAGAAAGCAATTCTCCGATCATGGACAGATAATGAAAGACTGATTCCTAATGATGGTACAGACTTTCAGGAACATGACTCTTTTTGCCAGGGAAGCGCTTATTCTATTGAGCCATCTCCCTGAACCCTAAGATTCTTAGGATACCAGTTTTCTTTTTTCTTTTATTATAATGTTTTTGGTGGAACCAGGAATTGAACTGAGGCCCTTGCATTTGCCAAGGAAGTTCTTATTCCACTGAGCCATCTCCCCAGCCCCCTGGAACATGACTATTAATGGAAGAAATTTTCTGCAAGATAATTCTTTGGTATTCCTCAGCCCTCCCAAATCAATTGAGACAGTATTTAAGGAAATTAAAAATAAAACTTTGCCTTTACCCAACCTGTCACCACAGCATTACTTGGATCAATATAATCAAAATTGTCCATATAAAAGTCAATTTTGAAGAGATTCATATTTGATCATGAGGTCATTGTATCTCAGTGGTTCTCCCAGGAAATTATTTAAAGAATTGAAAGTGGATTTTTAAAGTTTTTCAGTTCTTCAGTTTATACATTTCAACAAAAGGTATGATAATTAGTTGATTTTCTAGTATGAAGACTACATTTGGTTGTATATTCTATGAATCTTATATATGCTAAATATACTAATGAATAAATTTAAGGTGTTTAAGGATAAATCTTGCCATTGATAATAATTGTGAAATCTACTACAGGTAAAGAACAGAATAGGAGATGTTTGGACATGGTTTGACAAAGTGTGTGAAATGTTTAACCATTCATTCATAAAAAAGCCTTTGTTATAGGAAAAAAGAATCCATGTACTTTTGTTTAGATTGCATAAACAAGCAAATAACAATGTGAACAGGTTATATTTGTTGGCTAGATGCTAAAGATTGTAACATAATGGAATAAAAGCCAAAATATGTATAAAAGGAACTTTAAGTAGTATTTTATGTTCTTCCATTCAATTATAAAATTATAAGATGAAATACTGAAACAAACCTAGTTATGAAAGTAAATTGTAAACATTCAATTTTAGTATTTTTTTTCTTTCTTTTCTTTTTTATTTTTAGGGAGAAAAAATAGAATTAAAACAGAAAAAATAACAAGTGATATACAATTGCATTTAACAAAGTAATATGAATTATGTAGTATTTGTTGTAATACATAGTGTTGTCTTCCAACCAGTTACAGATATTGCCTGATATATGCATGTAAAATTGGAAGAAACAGAATGAAATGTATAAGAAAGAAAGAAGAGAAAAGGTACAACTGAAAAAAGGAGACAAAACTTATTAAGTAATATGTGCTCCTTTCCATAGACCAGCAGAAATGCACAGTACAGTTGTCCAAACCATCTTGCTTACATATGTAAATAAATCTCTTTTCCACTCCCTCTCCTGTCCTCAATTCAGTAATACTTTCCTTCTGAATAAATTCATTCTCTTGTCTCAGTATTTATTGTACCATTCACATTCTAATTTTCTCTTAGGCTCTCACACTAAAGAGACAAAATAATGCTTGCACATGAAGGTCTGACTTATTTCACTTAAAAGTATGCTCTCCAGGTTAACCCTACAAAGAACACTGATAGATATTCTAGAAACAGTCAGAAGTGTTCACAGCAATGAGAACAACAGAAAGGAACCACCAACCTGAGCAAGCAATTAAAGAGTTAAAATGTACAGAATCTATAGCAAGAAAATAACATGGCAAAGATAAACCAATAAGTATCAGAAATAAACATAAATGCAAATGGCTTCAATTCATCAATCAAAAGAAAAAGACCAGCAGGGTGGATTAACAAACAAAATCCAACAATCATACAAGAAACACATTTAACTCAAATGGAATCTCGCAAACTAAAAGACAGTGGATTGAAAACAATACTCCATCCCACAGGAAATCAGAAAAAAAACAGGGATACCTATCCTGGTTGCTGATAATATCAACTTCAAACCAAAACTCATTCAAAGAGATAAAGAAGGTTACTACATACTTGGTAAGGGAAAACCAAAAGAGGAAGAGATAACAATTTTAAATACATATGTACCCAATGTAGGAGTATCTACCTACATAAGACAAATTTTAACAGACATGAAAAATCAAATAATCAACTGTAAAATAGTAATGGAAGACATTAACATGACACTGTCACAAAAAGATAGATCAACTAGGCAAAAAATTGGCAAAGAAATAATAGAACTAAATGGAAATGATGAAAAAATTGATTTAATAAACCTTTATAGAGTGTTTTCACCCAGCAACAGCAGAATATATATTCTCAGCTGCAAATGAGACATTCTCAATTACATGATTTCTGCAGTATGTTTGTCTTAGTTACTCTTCTCTCGTTGCTGGGACAAATACCCGACACTCAAAATGAAGGAAGGAAAAGTTTATTTAGCTCACAGTTATTGGAGGTTTCAGTCCATACTCAGCTGGGTCCAACGCAGAGCAACACACAGCAGAGGGCAAACTTTCATGGAGGTGGCAAAGAGCAAGAGCACAAGGGAGGTGTAGCAGCAACTCAAGCAGCTAGCTTCTCTTCCCACCTTACATTGTAATGCAAATTACCTGCCCCAGGGCAGATGCAGCAACCACACCCACAGTAATCAATCACAAACTCCAGAAGCCTCCCATGACTGCCTGAGACTT